CCCCAAAACCCCAAAACCCCTTCATGTGATAATTGAAAGAATTTTGGGACTGGAATAGTTTAATTTCTGTTCAAAAATCAATAAAATAAAAGACTAGTATTTTAACTTAACTTATAAATTTAGACATCATATTAATGTGAAATATCCTCTTAATATCAAATTCTATTAACTAATAATAATGAAAACAATTAACCTATCTAATAATATTTAAACTAGCAATAACCTATATAAGATATGCAAGAGGAATATAAAAATTTCTAAGTGGAACCATTGCTTCCATCAAAATCGATGAGTTAATCGCAAGCAATGATAAGGAGAAACAATGACTAATCTAACTTGGAGTATCAATGGTTTCTAAAATAATTTAGAGAGATTGATTACTCAATATAAGAAAATAGATAAATTCCACTCATCCTTAAGCTCAAATAATAAGACATATTTGTGAAAGACTTCTTTATACTTCCACATTTAAATCAAATAATTATTGGATATTAAGTAGGTTAATAAAAAGACCATAGAATTTTTGAGTTTTATGATCAATTTACTCGAGAGGTAATCAAATCCTATGAATTCATTGAGAACAAGATATCCATTTATTATCAACAAGTATTTTCAAAAATATCATGTGAAGACATTGATTATATCTTCTACTAAAAGTAAAGAACTTACTATTTGATAAGACTGAATGATATAGAAGAAAAAGATGAAAAAAATCTGATTAAATTCAATTTTTAAGAAGATTTTCTCATCTAGCAGGCTTGTATTTTAGACGAATCCACAATAACTTTGAAATGTAAAATCTCCAATCAAATTAGGCAACTCATTTTCAAGTTAGACTAGAATCTGAGCTCAATGACTAATGATTAAGAAATCTAATTTAACATCAGTTTAATTACATAAGGAAACTATTAGAAAGCAATTTCTCAAACAAATAAAGAAATATTTGTAAAAGATTAGGATCAAAGTTGTTTCCAAATGCCTTGCTTATACACTGATAGTTTTGATTAGAATGAGTTAAATGATCATTTCCTTTTTTGTCAGAATTCTAAGACTCTATTTATTAATAAGTTAACCCTCTAAGTAGAAAAAACCATAGATAAAATATTCTAAGTAGTAATTTACAAAGGTCACTTTGAGTATCTAATGGATTCTAGTCTCTATCTCTACACATTTGATAGAGCAGATAATTTTAAACTTACAAAGGTTCACTAACTATCATAAAATAAAATCCAATAGTTAGGCAAAGTAGTAACTACCTCAAATAAAATTTTTGTTGATTACAAATTGAAAACTTAACTTGAAATTATGTAAGTCTACGATGCTAGGACATTTCAATTATTGAACGAGATAAACGAACCCTAGAAAACTTCTGTAAGAATGGACGCCATCAATAATTAAATATACTTTAGGTATTCTAGTAATAAATTCACAAACTGCAATCTTAATACGAACTATGATTTCTTTAATAGAATATTACCATTCATTAACGAAAAGGAGCATATTCTCCAAAGATAGATTATAAGAATTCGAAATAATTATGTAATCTATGATAAAAAAACTAAAGATTAAATAGTAATAGTCTAAGACTTAATAAGTGGAAAATGTCAAGAAATAATGAAACAGTATGAAAATAATTGCATGAAATACCTAAGTTTTTAATTTAACTTTTTGGATGATAATGAATTTCATGAAAAAATTAAAGTAAATCGTCCAATTCAATAAGTTCAAAACATTTTATCTGATGATATTATCATCTATTACATTCCTAACATTAATTACATACAGCTAAATGATTACAGGTATGTCACCCTTGAAGACTTGAGAAAACAATCTGATCTAGATTACGAGAGTTAACCAAGATTTTTTTGCCTAATGTCAGATAGATATAATAAGAATTAATATGTTTTGGAAATCTTATCTAAAAACAAGTTAGCCTATTTCGATAAAGATAATTAGAAATTTAAAGTTATTGAACTAAATGATGAGGTTCTTGAAGAATATCCTATTTAAGCTTTGATAGATTAAGAACTTAATATATTAATCATATAGTATGAAATCAAGCTATTTGTTTACAGCCTGGAAACAAGATAGAGAATCAATGAAATATCTGCTATAGGGAAAACTTCATCAATATTCATTGACAGAAATTATCTTTAAGTCACTACATTCGATAGTAGATATGTATACTTCTTTAATGATGGAGCAATTGAAAAAATATTTTAAATTAAGTTTCCTGAAAACTTAGAGATTTTTAGCTGCTATTAAAACAGTATCAATGGTAATGCTTACACAATTCTCAAAAGAAAAGATAAGCGAGATTCATCAGAGCTCTATACTATGATTGAGACCTCATTTGATAAAATAAATAATGACTAACATTTGATTCAACCTTTGTATTTAGCCTTCTATTTTGCAAACACATACAAAACAATAATTGATTCAAGTAAAGTTTAAATCTATGCTATAGGTGACTAATAAGCATGCGGCTTTTTCAATATAGAAGTTACAGATTAACTCATTGATGATTATAGATTAATCCAGAAAATGAAGAATGAAAACATATTAAA